ATGTATGAAGCCTAAAGGCGATTATAACAGTGATGTGATTTTAGAATAAAACAAAATTTTGGATAAATTGAACTTAGTTTTATGGTACACCATCGCCGATAAAATGGTTATATACGACCTACAAAGGTTTATAGTGATTCTTAAAATCTTTTCCAGCTGTTAAAGGCTTTCATAAATATTTTTTTATAAGAAATGTTTCTTATTTGTAGAATTTTTTATCGTCGTCTCGCGATCTTTCAACTTTGATTGATCAATTACACAACCATTTCTTTATGTTAATACTGTCTTGTATGATTATTATAAATACTGATTGGTTTTAAAAAAATGCAATTTTACTTATGTTGACTGACAAATTGGTTCATATACAGGGGTATTCTTGGTTTGGTAATGCATTTGCATATTTCCCGATTCTGCTAATGACTGCGGTTTGAGCTAAGATTAAATCTGTTATTTCAGATATTGAGTTTCATTGCAAATAAGCAAGCAGATCCTTCCATTTAGAAAGAGTGGCTCGACGCAATATTGCTAAAAAATATTCACTCTTTTTATTTTGCGTTGTACTAAACTCAGCAATGGTAAGTAAATATCTATACAGGATAAAAGCCATTTAAAAAATTCCTAACATCTCAGGAACTTCGAATAATTTCATTATGTATTTTTACTATACTGTCATTATGTCACATGTTATAAATACTATCATTATGTCACCTGTTAGTTACAGCAAGCCTGTTCACTACTCAATTACTCTTCTCAACATTCATGCTTATCTTAATAATGTTATCCTTTCGGGTGATTTAAAATCTTTTTTATTAGAATATTATTTCTAATCTATTTACAACGATCTATATGCCTGTTACAAGTGTTCTTGTTATTGTGACTAGTAAATCTTCGTATTTCATAATTCTTCTTATGCCCAATACATCAGCTATCTTCGTATTCCGTAATTCTTGTACATCTTCTACAATTCTACAATTTATGCGATACTATAAACATCCAGATATTTTGAAGCCTTTCAATTTCGGTTTCATTCTTTGGTCAGCGGGAATAGTTAAATCCACCATTTGACAGGTTTTGTTTATTATTTAATTACCTAATCTAGATTCGAGATATCCATTTCATGGTGTTCTATACTACTGGCCTACTCATGGTGCAACTAAGAACTAGAACTAGAGGCCTATCTCAAAAGCTCCCCAATGAGAGCAACGCATTTAGTTGTTCGCTGTTGTAGTTAGCTTTAAAAATTCAAAGAAAGTTTTGCTTCTTCACTTTCAGTAAATTTAGCTTCTCTCATTGAAGTAAGTATAAAATTTATTTATTTTCTTTCTCTCGGAATTGCCATATTATAACAAAAACATTTTTTACGGAAAATTCACCAACAGTGTAATTTAGGAATCATTGGTCTTGTCACTTGCAAGTTAATTTAACTTTTTTTTCAATAAAGTTAATTTAATATTCTTCTCTATTAAATTTATATTCATAAATGTAAATGCGTTAATTATTGACTGACTTTTTTTTTGCGTTATTTGTATTTCTGTTTCTAACAGCTGAAAAAATATGCTGATTTTTATAAGAACATTTGTATACCGCAATGTAGTTTTTTCACAGTAATTTTTTGAAAATGAGATCTAGACAAGGCAGTATATTCTAACTGAAGAATCCGTAATTTTATTCGATTTAAAGAAATTTTTAAAAAAAATTCAAGTCTTCTTATAAATGTTACAAAGACTCCCTCAAGAAAATTAATTTTAATGTTTTCTTATGTTTCCTTTTTAATACGGCTTTTTCATCCGAAGACTTTTCCTTGATTTTGTTTTTACATTGCGGACATTTACATATTCCATCATTTGTTATGTAAAGTTAATTTAAGATTTTTTTTCTTTGCTATTGATAAATTGTAGAATTTTATGAGTAATTTGTGTTTTTGCTTCTAAAGCGTAATTGTATATGTTAAATTTTAGTTTAGTTTACCATTTAAAAACATAAAACAGAAGTACATGTAATACTTTTATACTACAAAATTAATGAAAGTTAAACATGTTGTTTAACATTTTAGCAATATTTCTGAAGTTCAAACATTTGGAAATAGGCCTCGAGTTCTGGTCCTTATTCGCACTATGAATAGGCTGGCAGTAGAGAACGCCATGACCCGTTTGAGTATGAAAATCCCATAAAAAATTTACTTTCTGTCTAAGTTTCTGGTTAATGATATACTCTTGATCTTTAGTAGTAATATTAGCCACTTCCTTATAAGGAAATGTTCGACATTTACGGACATAGCAGCCAGTTCTACTTTCAGTTGACATTTTTAATATCTTTCTATTAAAAGAATTTTTCTGAAAAATAGTACTTGTTATTGCTCTTACCAGTATTGATGGGGTTTTCCTTCTTAACTTTTTTTTGAAGTAGTGTAAAACGTCAAAATCTCCACTCTCATTATGTTCTCTTTAAGTTACATGTCTATTTTAGTTGTTGCTACTGTTGGAAGTCCTCAAATGTTTTCTGTTATTTGGCACACTTTTTTGTCTGTGATTCTACAGTATGAGTCCACAAAGTTAAAGAAGGCTACTCCTCGATGACAGGCTTCATTCACTCGAAGCCATTTTAACCTTTGATCAGAGGAAGTGATTATATACGAGTTTGTCGGCATGCATGTCATACATATGAAAGTTTTAATATGACGGAGCTATTTAAGAACGTGACTAGAGTTTGGAAATGTTATGCTTTTGTAGCAATTTGCTGTGTTGAACGAGACTACCTCCGACCCCAGCCTATTCTATTTTCAATTTCCTTATAACAAATTTAGTTCAGAAGATAACTGATCCTATACCGAGCCATCTGAAATGTTTATTATTTACTAATTCCATATCCTGAATTTTTGTGATGGATTTACTATAGGTGTCATACAGCTTTCATTTCAATTCCAGATCATAGTTTCTGTTTTCGAAAGGTTTATCTTGAGTCCTATTTCTTGGAACACTTGGTAGAGGATGTTGATGTCAGCAGAACAAAACCCAGACATTTGCACAGTTCTCGATAAATCATGGCTCCTACATAAACATGGTCTATTTTTTTATATTTTCTATGAGCTAATTTTCCTCCTCCATGTTAGTTTTATCTCTCACTGCTATTTTGTCGAGTTTTGTTTATTTTGACGTTAATATACTTCCTTCTACTACATCGACACTGCACTAACATTACAGCCTCTTTTCCGTTTCCATTATGAGCGTCCTTGAACAGCTTATAACTCAATCATTGTTCCAGCAAAAAACTTTCCCTAGACATGAATAATTCCAAACTTAAACTCAGGCAACAAGTAGTTCAAGTGAAATATTATTCTATTTCCTTTGATGACGCATTAGCTATTATTACTGATAATACCGCCCAAAAAAAGTGACAACAATAGTTAAGAAATTTAATTGGTTATATCTTCTCCGTGAAGAATCTAGGATTTTTATCTACGTAATTATCTAGATTGTCTAATAAAAGAAATGATTCATTATAGTAACAAAATATTGACAAATAAAGCAAGCACAAAAATGAATTAAAACGTGTTGTGGTAGGATCCACCTAATTTGTATAGTGGAGTACCGACCATATAAATATGGTTGGCACCGGGAAGAGAGGGAGGAATCAAGAGATTCAACCAGAGACTCTGCCCGACTGCGACTCAGTTAACACATTCTCCAGGAACGGTCTTACCAGGAATATACAAAAGATTATATGTAAATATTGTGTACACTTTCTTGTTTCAATACATTTTGTTCTAAGTACATTTTGTGTTGCATTATTATTCCATGCATTAGTCAAGTTTCAACAAAAAGCAATATATTAACCGCCTTGTTTCCCCTATTTACTTATGAAATATCCGTTGATATTGTGACACAAGCCATATTTGATTTTTTAAAACTGTCAAGATGGTAAAGGAAAACCACTCCACTATCTTCCCCAAGAAGTCATAGCTATTTTTAAAAAAAAGTCTGAAGTGACATGATCGCCTACATCCTGAAAGGACATAGTACTTTTTAAATTACTCTTGTTAGCAAAAGAACGGAATATCTGATTATTAATACGAGGATAACAGATTGCGTGACCGATAAATATATAGAATTACATCGTGTTTTATATTATAGAATATATTTTTTCAATATCAGTCTATATCTCTGAGATGGGGTTTTATAATTATTTATATTATTTACATTATTCGAACTGTTATCCTCATTGCCATATTCACAACTGAAGAAGACCGGGGCGTACAACGGCCGAAACGTTATGAATATGACAATTAAAATGAGAAAAGTTCGAATAATGTAAATAATATAGATAAATTTTTTATTGGAATATATTTCGTCTTAATTTCAGTTGCAATTTAGCGTAACCCTCCGAATATTATTCTACGTTATTAACTGTAATTTAATAATAATAATAATAATAATGCCTGTAGAGCCTCAAACTTGATCCCTTATTATTCTCTAATGGATTATTAGAATTAAATTCAAAATAAATTAAAAAATGCACACTTTCGTGGAGTGAGCCTTCTCAAATTTGAAACCTAAATTTTAATTAATCAGTATTTAATAATGCATTAATTTTTTTATTTTATTATTTTAATAATAATGCCTGCGAAGTATTAATGTCTTGAATGAGCCTCAAGTATCCTTTACCAAAATTTATTTGGAAGCAGAGGTTCTGGTTCTTTGTAAGATAATGTAAATAAAACAATTATTTTTTATTGAAACTATCAAAGAATGTATAAAAATTATCTGTAAAAGTCAGATTATAATAATAATTAAAAGAGGTCAGAATCTGTGTTTTTTAATTATATTACTAGTTGGGCTATTTCACTAATACTGAATATAGGAAAAGTCAAGACGACGAAATGGTCATCTGGGAGAACAGATGGTCATAATGAATTTTCTAATAGCTAAATAAATACATACTGACCATGTTCCTATCATAACAGGATAGATAGAAATGAAAAAGAACTCTCTTACTTCATGACACTATATAATCTGACCAGAGATATCACGAAAGAATGAAATATCTAGATTTTTATACCAGTTTGGAAAGACGAACGAATTATAGTAATTAGTCAATCGACATTTTAATTGGAAAAATAAAAGAGGAGATGGTTGGAAATTAAAAAGTAAGAGATGTTTATAAAAGGAATGGGGGAAAAGAGAATAAGACAAAAAGAGGATGCGGTGAGACAAAAAGAGGACAAAGAGGATGAGGTGAGACAAAAAGCGTATAAAGAGGATGTGATGAAACAAAAGAGGATGCGGTGAGACAAAAAGAGACAAAGAGGATTGAGACAAAAAGCGTTTATGAAACAAAAAAGTATTTGGTAAGACAAAAAGAGGATGAGGTGAGAATGTATTAACAAAAAGAGGACAAAGAGGATAGGTGGAGACAAAAAAGTGTAAAAGAGGATGTGATGAAACAAAAGAGTATAAAAGAGAATGGTAAGACAAAAAGAGGATGCATGAGACAAAAAGAGGACAAAGAGGATGAGGTAGACAAAAAAGTATTAATGTCAAAAAGAGGACACAGAGGATGAGGTGAGACAAAAAGCGTAAAAGAGGATGTGGTAAGACAAAAGAGGATGCTGAGACAAAAGAGGACAAAGAGGATGAGGTGAGAAAAAAGAGTATAAAGAGAATGTGGTAAGACAAAAGAGGATGCTTGAGGTGAGACAAAAAGCAAAAGAGGATTTGAAACAAAAAGAGTATAAAGAGAATGTGGTAAGACAAAAAGAGGATGCGGTGAGACAAAAAGAGGACAAAGAGGATGAGGTGAGACAAAAAGAGTATAAAGAGTATGTGGTAAGATAAAAGAGGATGCGGTGAGACAAAAGAGGACAAAGAGGATGAGGTGAGACAAAAAGCTATTTGTGATGAAACAAAAAGAGTAAAGAGAATGTGGTAAGACAAAAAGAGGATGCAGTGAGACAAAAAGAGGACAAAGAGGATGAGGAGAAAAAAATTATTTTAGACAAAAGGGATGCTATCAAAAGAGGATGAGGTGAGACAAAAAGCGTATAAAGAGGCTGTGATTAAACCAAAAGAGTATAAAGAGACTTTAAGACAAAAAGAGGATGCTGTGAGAAAAAAAGAGGACAAAGAGGATGAGGTTATAAAGAGAATACGTGAAGGCAAAAAGAGGATGCGGTGAGACAAAATGAGGATGAGGTGAGACAAAAAAAGTAAATAAAGAGGATGTGATGAAACAAAAAGAGTATAAAGAAATGTGGTAAGACAAAAGAGGATGCAGACAAAAAGAGGACAAAGAGGATGAGGTGAGACAAAAAGCGTATAAAGGGATGTGATGAAACAAAAGAGTATTTTAAGACAAAAGAGGATGCGGTGAAGAAAAAAGAGGGCAAAGAGGATGAGGTGAGACAAAAAGAGTATAAAGAGGATGTGGTAAGACAAAAAGAATGCGGTGCGACAAAAAAGAGGACAAAGAGGGATGAGGAAAAAAGCATAAAAGAGAATGTGGTAAGACAAAAATATGAGGTGGAGAAAAAAAAGCATAAAGGGATGTGATGAAACAAAAAAAAGTATAAAGAGAATACAAAAAAGAGGATGCGGTGAGACAAAAAGAGGACAAAGAGGATGAGGTGAGACAAAAAGAGTATAAAGAGAATGTTGACAAAAAGGAGGATGCGGTAGACAAAATGAGGATGAGGTGAGACAAAAAAGTATAAAGAGGATGTGATGAAAACAAAAAAGAGTATAAAGAGAATTGGTAAGACAAAAGAGGATGCTGAATATAAAGAGGATGATGAAACAAAAAGAGGATAAAGATGTGGTAAGACAAAAAAAGGATGAAAAAAGAAAAGAGGATGAGGTGAGACAAAAGAGTCAAAAAGAGGATGCTGAGACAAAAGAGGACAAAGAGGATGAGGTGAGACAAAAAAAGGTATAAAGAGAATGTGGTAAGACAAAAAGAGGATGATCAAAGAATAAAAGAGGATAAAACAAAAAGAGTTTGAGACAAAAGAGGACAAAGAGGATGAGGTGAGACAAAAAGAGTATAAAGAGAATGTGGTAAGACAAAAAGAGGATGCGGTGAGACAAAAAGAGGATGAGGTGAGACAAAAAGCGTATAAAGAGGATGTGATGAAACAAAAAGTACTGAGACAAAAAGAGGACAAAGAGGATGAGGTGAGACAAAAAGCGTTTGTGATGAAACAAAAAGAGTTGTGGTAAACAGAGACAAAAGAGGACAAAGAGGATGAGGTGAGACAAAAAGCGATAAAGAATGTGGTAAGACAAAAGAGGGATGCGGTGAGACAAAAGAGGACAAAGAGGATGAGGTTATAAAGAGGATGGATGAAACAAAAGTATAAAGAGAATGTGGTAAGACAAAAAGAGGATGCGAGACAAAAAGAGGACAAAGAGGATGAGGTGAGACAAAAGAGTATAAAGAGAATGAAGACAAAAGAGGATGAGGTGAGACAAAAAGCGTATAAAGAGGATGTGATGAAACAAAAAGAGTATAAAGAGAATGTGGTAAGACAAAAAGAGGATGCGGTGAGACAAAAGTAGGAGATGAAGGTATAAAGAGGATGATGAAACAAAAAGAGTATAAAGAGAATGTGGTAAGGAGGATGAAGACAAAAGAGGACAAAGAGGATGAGGTGAGACAAAAAAGTATAAAGAGAATGTGGTAAGACAAAAGAGGATGCGGTGAGACAAAAGAGGACAAAGAGGATGAGGTGAAAAAAAAGTATAAAGAATGAAACAAAAGAGGATGTTACAAAAGACGATGAGGTGAGACAAAAAGCGTATAAAGAGGATGTGATGAAACAAAAAGAGTATAAAGAGAATGTGGTAAGACAAAAAGAGGATGCGGTGAGACAAAAAGAGGACAAAGAGGATGAGGTGAGACAAAAAGAGTATAAAGAGAATGTGGTAAGACAAAAAGAGGATGCGGTGAGACAAAAAGAGGATGAGGTGAGACAAAAAGCGTATAAAGAGGATGTGATGAAACAAAAAGAGTATAAAGAGAATGTAAGACAAAAGAGGATGCAGAGACAAAAAGGACAAAGAGGATGAGGTGAGACAAAAAGCGTATAAAGAGAATGTGGTAAGACAAAAAGAGGATGCGGTGAGACAAAAAGAGGACAAAGAGGATGAGGTGAGACAAAAAGCGTATAAAGAGGATGTGGTAAGACAAAAAGAGGATGCGGTGAGACAAAAAGAGGACAAAGAGGATGAGGTGAGACAAAAGAGGATGTGATGAAACAAAAAAAGAGTATAAAGAGAATGTGGTAAGACAAAAAAGGATGCATGAGACAAAAAGAGGACAAAGAGGATGAGGTGAGACAAAAAGCGTATAAAGAGGATGTGGTAAGACAAAAAGAGGATGCGGTGAGACAAAAAGAGGACAAAGAGGATGAGGTGAGACAAAAAGCGTATAAAGAGGATGTGATGAAACAAAAAGAGTATAAAGAGAATGTGGTAAGACAAAAAGAGGATGAGCTGAGACAAAAAGAGGACAAAGAGGATGTGATGAAACGGTCATATTAAAAAGATGAAGTGTAGATCGGAAATGAATCGGAGGCAGATTCAGTCAGCACCAAATATTAGGAAACGAAACGTCATAAGCCAAATGTAAGGGAATCCGATGGCCTCAAGCAAGAAGAGATAACAGTAGTTGACGAGCTTCTCTCGACGCAGATAGATTTGCACAGATTCATATGAACGAGCCGAACCTGTGGAAATTCCACGGATGTTGAGAGCTAAAACATCATGGTTGCCTCAGGGTTTCGTGTAATGGTCAGCAGGCTAGACTAGTAAATGATTAGTAGTCGGTTCGATTCTCACTGGGGATCCATGCATGTGGTTTTGTGCCTAGACTAAGCAAAGTTTAGTCAATGTGGTGAAATTGTCAGCAAGTTGGACTTATAGATTATTGGTTGTGGGTTCATTCATTGCTGGGTGAACAATACGTGTGGCCTTGTTTGTGCCAAAACTAAGCAATTCTTAATAAGTAACAAGTAAGACATTATAATTACTCTCGCATATACGAGGGGAATCTGAATGGTTCTCAGCTTAACTAAGATGTTCTTTAAAAAACAAAAAAAAAAGAAGTAATGTGATTTTTTGATCATTTCGGTTTGGGGAATTGGCCCAACTCGATGACTTCACTTTCTCTTTTTTAATCCCACTCTGCCATTCAAGAAAGAAAGAAAAAAAGGTATTAACCTTTGTTTCTTTCTCTCCACTTCCTTTTTCTTAAATCCTACATTCTTTTCTTTTCATTTTCCATAGTTTGTTTTGTGTTTTTTTAAACAGATTTATTTTCTTTCGTTTTTTTTCTTAATATCTCACCACTTTACTTCTTTTCATTCATTTATATATTTATTCTTTTTTTTCCTTTTTCATTGATATCTCCCGCTATTTCTTTTTTTTAATTCTTTCTTATTATCTCTTCACTCTCCTCCTTTTTTACTTTCTTTCTTTATTTTTATCCATTTCGCTGCCTTATAATATTTGTACGTTCATATTTAATATACGTGTAAGAGCCTAGTTGTGTCAGTAATTGCAGAAATACATATGAAAAACTAACGGTGATGTCTTATCTGTCAATGTCTGTGGAATTTACATGGGTTCAACTAGTAAATAAAACAACACAAGAAGTGAGTGAATTTATTAAAACATAAATTTGCCAAGAGACTTTGGTGACAGACGTTTCGGCGCTGTTGATTAAGCAACCGTTATCGCGTCTGTTCCTATATGTAAAGCATAACGGTTGTAGATAATAGTATAACTAATAAAGAAATAATAGGGAACACGTTGGAGTAATGGACAGCGAAGTCGGAGAGCCGAATTCGAATTCCAGTCGAATCCATTACATTCATTTACGTGCTAATACCCTTGGGAAAGGTATGAATCCTCTTCTTCTTCCCGCAGCTATAGGTAAATAGCAGGACAGACCGGGTTCTATAGCCTTGGATGGCAACTGGTCTACCGCAGAAAGAAATAGCACCCTACTGCGGGAAAAAAAATCTGCCTTGTCAGTCATGTACCGACAAATACATGATCGCCTAAGCGTGTATCACGCATGGCACATAACTGGCTGAATAAGGAAATATTTAGTTTTTATGCACGAGTCATATACGTATTTCCCGAAATTGTTAATTGGTTACATTTGAATGAAACTTGCAATCGAACTTTTTATTGATTCAACTTTAATTGTGATGATTCATATTTAAAATAACTATTAATGGTTAAGTATAATAAAGGGGAGAATGAATTCCTGAAGAAAAGAAACGACTGGCCAACTGAATGAGAAAACATATTGTACATCGCCAAGTCCCGATGTCCAAATGTATTACAGTATATACTCGTGTATGAGTCGACTTCATGTATAGTGCGACTCCTGATTTTTTTCTTTTTTTTTTTGGTTGTGAAAAACCCTATTTTTTCATATAGCTCGTATATAATGCAACACTAGCTTCTGAGCAATATTTGTCCTACCATAGTCAAATATTGCAGCACTGGACATCATCCTGGACAGATTTTATAGCAAATAAATGGTCTTCCTTCTTTTTTATACAAAGTTACCCCAAAATGGCGGGAAAATACACTTACTGCAAAATATCCAATACGAAGATTTAGGTACCGTAATTTTGTTTCTTTTATACCTGACTACGGTAACTCTTTTACCCTGTGCCTACCTACTACATAGTCTGATTTTTTTCTCTTTTTAACTTCTTCAAAAAAAAAACACGACCATCTATTTATTGCATAAAAAAACGTCGTATGAATTCGTACTATTCGTACTATACTCGAGTATATACAGCAATCTGTATAAAAATAAAACTGCGAAAATATGTGTTTTTTTTTATACAAATTGTCCTACTGCTTATAAAATTTGTCTTCTGGTTTCAGTTTTCTTCCTTATGTTATATGTCTCTTCAGGAAGTGAGCGATCATGTCTTTTCACAACTTCCTATTCGTTACAGCTCGAAGAAGTATTTGTTCCCTTAATATCGTTTCTACTCCCTGTTTAGCCATCCATTTGCACAGGATTGTTAGGAAATTTACTTGCTGTTTCCTTCTGACCGTCTTGCACGAACTGGACAAAGTAGTAAAGAAAAGCGAGAAGAAAGGACTATCAACTGTAAAGAGATACAATGTATTGTTGGCAGCTAGAGAAACAACCCAACATGCAAACTGAAGACTTAAAAATAAAGCAAATACAGAAATGTAACAATCAGGGAATTGTTATAGCAAATGATGAAAAATGTGACACAGAAATCCGAAGACTCATTCGAATAGAGAAAGATGCCTTCCAGAAAATAAGCAGAAAATCGGAAAATTTTGTTGAAAACAAAGAGTGCCCAAATGTTATGTAATATCATTGTTTCTATGTTGCAGTCAATACTGAACAATTTCCTCAGAGATGAATTGAAGACTTGAGAGAACAGATGTGTTTCTACAGAAGGATAATGAGAATACCATGGATATACTATGTAAGCAACGTGGTAGTTTTAAAGAAAATGGCGCTGTTATAATGCTCGTATAAGCTTGTAGTTCTGTGGATGATATTCAGAGGAAAACGCTGAAACAAAAGGTTAGCGAATAAACTGTTTAATCACATGGATTAATAATACAATAATAACGAATACCATAGTTCGTGCGGCAATGCATACAACCCACTTTGAAACCCCTCATAGTGAATGGAACAGTCTATGTTCAACAATTTTGTGTAGCGAAGGTCGGTCGTCTTTCTACACCATAGAAACTTATACTTAAAATCAGAAAGAAATATTTCCAGAAATTTCTAGGACACATAATGAAGACGGGTTAGAAATTTTGTTACTCATAGGACAAAGGCAAAATGGACAGAGGATGCAGAAGCCACCTACCTAACGAGCTTAATGGTAGATCAGGGAATGATAGGGATAGTAACAAGGCAAACATTGCAAAGAGCTACAAAGGAAGTTGCGGAGAGATACCATCACCGACGTCATGAAGGGACGTGCCGCAAAGAAGAAGATATGGAAAATATTATATACAAATCTATATAACTATCTGCAAAAAGAAACGACAGCCTACCGCGGGAAAATCTTCTGCCTAGTCAGTCATGAAACGAAAGAGACATTTCCTAAGCGTGTCTAATGTGCGGCAATTGACTTTATATAACTAACTCACTAGATATGTAATCAGCAAAATAAATGAAAATTCTTAAGTATTGTTTTAATAAATTTTACCTGTGATATCATAGGCTGGATAAATAGATAGTTTTGAAATAAATTTCGTGCATAAGGTTATTTGGCCTTTTCCTATTAGCAAGTATAAACACTCACCAGACGTGCATTGATATCTTATCACATCTGCTTTGGTTTAATTTGTTTTACGGCTTATCAACCTCAATAGATTATTTAATGCCGACAAAATTTTTAAGATAGGTTCGTATGAATAGAATATGTATTTAAGAAATCAGTTTGTAGATCAGGTTTCATTGACATATTTTTGTGAAGAGGGTGTTTTATAGAGTGCCAAATGTATTGCTGGTAATATTAATTTTTTTAAATGTATTGCTTGTAATATTTTTTCCCAAAAATGTATTACTGGTAATATTTTTTTCCAGAAATGTATTGTTGGTGTTTTCCCTATAAAAATATTCTTTTTATACTTTCATAGTGCTTTAACCCCGGTTTTGAGGTTAACTATTTGATCATAACTGGGACCGTAGCAAAGTGTTACCAGACCGGGTCAGGGTGAAGCTTGGAACAGCAATTAAGACGGTGGTTTCACGCTCATCAAAACCTCCCGGTCAGAGGCCTTGCTGCCGGATGTAGTTTATCGTCATACCCAGGACGCACATCACATCTGGTTGTTCTTTTCAATTACTGGCTTTCACAAATAAGGCTTTATTTACTAGTTTTATGCTAAGGCAAATATTGTTTTTAATATTAAGTACGCTCCCATTTCTAATGATTGAATACCTGCGTTACAAATGAATGTTATTTCTTCGACTTGTGAATCTGTGGGCGCACCTGATTTAATCTTTGTATTTGTTTACCTTCTTCAACACTGAAGTGGGTTTCAATGGTTTAGTATGGGCACTAATTGTGAATGGATGTTTTTCACTCTTGATTAACATTTTCCAGACAGAATTGCTTTCTAAATTTGACCAATTTAATGGTAATGGTTATATTAGCTGTTTCCTTATAAGGAAACATTTGACATTTATTGACCGAGCAGCCAGTAGTAATTTCGGTTTAAATTTATAAAATCTTTCCCTTAAAACAATTTTTCAGGAAGATAAGTTTCTTAAGCTCAGTAAATGTTCTTTCCAATATTGATGGATGTTTCCTTCCTAGCCTTTTATTTGAAATACTGTGGAATGTCAGCATCGTGATTATGTCATTATTTTCTCTTCGGGTTGCATGTATGACCCATTTTAGCTATTTTCGTTGTTGATAGTCCTCAGGTGATGTATTTTCCCTTATTTGGAACAGTTCTTTGTTTGTAATTCTGTAATGCCAATCAACAATGTTTAAAGAAGTGTAGTCTTTGGCAAAACCCTGTGGCTTCACTTGCTCAATAATCCTAGAAAACGTTTGTACACACTTGATAGTTTAGATATTTCCGAATAGGTTTGGCACCATGCATGGCATGGATATGAAAGTTTCGATCCGATGAAGCTGTTTAAGTACATCACTCGAAAAACTTAAATCAAATTTATATTCAATTTGTGAGCTATTTCCATTAGTTTACTGGTCTGTCATATATTCTGGTAGGAATAGCCTTAAGTTTTGACCTGGGAATATCTGGTTTGGACCATTTTCATAGAAAACAAATGCAATAAATTGACTGCAAAGTGCAAAATATCCTCATAAGGAGATGGAATTTGCCTACTGTCAGCGAAATCGAAATTGGATTATCAGATTTAAATGCATCTATTCCCTCTGCTGCAAATTGGTAATCAGAGACAAGATTAGCATGCAGGACCTCCTTGGCATGTCTACGCCTTGTTGTCATGGTATCGAAATTGGTTCATCTATCAAAAAATAATTCACTAATTTCGAAGAACGCTGCCGTGTTAATCGAACTGATTCAGTAGCGTCTACCCCTTTATGACCAATTAATATTGTTTAAGGTTGTAAACGAACGCGTGCGAGACCAGATCTAGCCAGTTCGTCCAGGTGGATTTAAGAAAAAGGTGTAAAAATAAACAGGCGACAAAAGCTGCATAATAGAGAAACGTAGTAGCCTTGAAAAAACTCGAAAAAAGAAAAGACGATACATCTTTTCCTTTATGTGCCTTGTCTTCTCACGGCTCTCCACATTTTCCTGTATTTTGTTGATCTTAATAATTTTTGTCTTTTCGTTATTTTCTCTAGACCATAAGCTCATCAAATATGTTATGCACAGTTTTCCTCGGTTCCTCTTGCCCTTAATCTGCCCTGTGAGTATCAGATTTTCCAAGCCCTCCTTCCTTCCCTGGTCCCAGAAATGTCAACTGTCTCTTCCTGATGTTAAATATAAGTTTGCTTTTTGTTTCCATTTTCTCTAAAACTTCGCCGGTGCTCGCATGTTCGGTCTATGGTATTCTCAGTACCCTTCTGTAGAACCATATTCCTGCTGTCTCAAGTTTCTTCATCTTCGAGGAGATTATCCAGTATTCATTGACATATAGAACAGATATCACGTAACTATTCAGTACTCTTTTCTTTGTTTCTAAATAAATTTTCTGTCTCTTAATATTCTGCTTAGGTTTTGGCATGCATCTTTAGCCATCCCAATGCGTCTTCGGATTTCACTACCAGATTTCCTGTCTCCTTTTTAAGAACACTTCCTTTTTTTGTACTTGTTTGATTTTAGTATCTCCAATTTGTAGATTGCATTTTGTGCTCTTCCTTTTGCTAACGACCATGCATTATGCCTTGTAGTTTATGCTTAGACCTTTCTTCTCGCTTTCCTTCAGTATCTTTTGCAGGCGTTTTTGTAGTTTTATTTCCGTATCAGCTATCAACACTGTCATCTGCATATCTTATGTTGTTAATATTGTTGCCGCCAACAATGAATTCTGATAGGACATCTAAATCTCTCAGAATATGTTGAATAAGTCCGGTGAGAAGACATCTTGTCTCACACTCCTTTCTATTTTCGTATATCGGCTGAACTCATTTTCTGCCGGTATAGATTCTTAATTATTCTAATAGCCATCCCAAATATGTCAAGGTTGCTGAGCAGTTCCAACAAATCTTTCTAGCGTACTTTACCGAACGCCTTTGCGTCGTCTATAAAGCACAGGTACACATCATTGTCCATTTGTATTGGTCTTTCTGATA